ATTTCCCCATATCCTTTTCAACATTTGCTGGCATTTGTTTTCTTGATGATAGCTATTCAGACTGGGGTGACATGGAATCACAAAGTAGTTTTAATCTTCATTTATTTTCTTGCTTATTTTTATTTATTTATTTATTTATTTTTTTATTCATTTTAGTTTTTGTGTGTTGTAGGTATTAATCCTCAGGCATATGTATGGCTAGCAAAGATTTTCTCACGCCATTCTGTAAGCTGCCTCTCCATTTTGCTTTTGGTGCACAGAAACTTTTTATTTTCATGAGCCTCCATTACTCAACCATTGGCCATATTTTCTGAGCAACTAGTGCCCTGTTCAGAAAGTTACAGCTTCCGGGAAGGTTTTGAAGTTTTATCCTGTAGTTTTCTGTTTGTTTGTTTTGGTGTTGAAGTTTTTTGCTTTAGTTGTCTTAGGTTTTTTTGTTTGTTTGAGATTGGGTTTCTCTCTGTGACCCTGGCTTTCCTGGAACTGGTTCTGTAGACTAGGCTGGCCTTAAACTCAGAGATACACCAGCTTTGTCTCCTGAGTTCTGGCATTAAAGACATGTGCCATTAGGCTGAGCTTGTTTTAGGTTTTATGTTGAGGTTCTTGATTCATATGGAGTTGAGTTTTCTGCAGGGTGAGTGATAAGGATCTAGTTTCATTCTTCTACACATAGGTATCCAGCGCCTAACAGTGCTGTTTGTTGAAGACTTTTTTGCAGTGTTAAGAACTGAACTAATGGCTTTCCTGTCACTGACTTAACACTCCAAGCCTTTCTTTTCTTTTCCCTTCCTTTTTTTTGGGGGGGGGGCAGGAACTGAGCCCAAGGCTTTGTCCATACTACTCAAGCACTCCACCTTTAAGCTATGTCACCCCAGCTTTTAAAGCCTATGTTCTTTTTTTAAATTTTAGATTTGTTTATTTTATGTATATGAGCATTTTGTCTGCATGTATGTATGTATACCCCAAGCATGCCTGATGTCCATGGAGGTCAGAAGTGGGCATTGGATCCCCTGGAACAGAAATTTAGATGGTTGGGAGCTACCATGTGGGTGCTAGGAATCATACCTGGCCTCTTTGGAAGAACAGCAAGTGCTTTTCACCACAGATACCTCTCTAGCCCCAAAGCCTATGTTCCTAAATTAGACATTGCCTCTTATGGGTGTCAATAGATGGAGAATGCTGTTGTTAGCATCTGAACTGTGCAGCAGCTTAAATATATCTTGTTAGCATTCGAAATGTCCGCCCATGCTCAAATAATTCCATCCTGACAAAACCCAAGGTAGAGGTTAATGGCTGAAGGTAACTTTATTAGCAGAATCAATGGGTTGTCATGCCAAGTTCATTCACATGTTCTGTGATCCTTAAGAATAGTGCTCCACCCATTCCACATAGAGGGATACTTCCTGGGCCAAGACACACGGGGATGGGCCTAAGCCCTATCCCAAAGGATAGGATAGACTCTGATGACACCCTATGGAAGGCCTCACCATCCCTGGGGAGCAGAAAGGGTATGTGATAGGTAGGGTTTTAGTTGGGGGTGGATGGGAGGGGAGGAGGGGAGGGAGAGGGAACTGGGATTGACACGTAAAACAATCTTGTTTAATTCATAGTTTTAAAAAAGTCACTGACAGAAATAGTCCAAATATACTTTCCAGAAAATAACATTAAAGTCTCGTGCCCTGCATTTAGGGATGTCAATCATTATCATTTTCTTGGCATTGATAAGTTTCCTGGGATGTCAGATCATCAGTGACAAAATAAGGGTGAGGTTGACCTGTGTTTTGAGTAGAGAGCAGCTTAGAGATTGGCTACCAATTATTCAGATGTAGAAGACATGCAAATCTGTACTATATAAATGGTAAAGGCAACAAGGTAAAATACTTCTGTATATATTTTATGTGGTTTCCTCCATTTAATAACAGTGACAAGAGGAGGTAATATAGCAGGAGTACTAGTGTCAAATATGATGGTAGCCCAAGATAAAGCAGTGGAGAGAGCAAAGTGGGCCAGTGTTGGGATATGTTTCTAAGGAAAAATATTTTGCTGGCTTTGGGAGCATAATGAATGGAAGAAAAATGAATAATATTGTAGGTTTTATAGTTTGATGATGGGGCTAACATTTATAAATTATAAAAATTATTAGTTCAGTTGTTGTTGTTTTGAGACAGGGTTTCTCTGTGTAGCTTTGGAGGCTGTCCTGGAACTAGCAGTTGTAGACTAGGTTGGTCTCAAACTCACAGAGACCCTTCCTGTCTCTGCCTCCCATATGCTGGGATTAAAGGCGTGTGCCACCACTGCCTGGCTAAATTATAGAAATTATTGATGACAAGAAAATAATTAATTTTTGTGATGGTGGAAATAGTTTGTGATAGCTATGCTTTTAGAAGCAATGTTATTTGGGAAATGGCCATAAATGAAGTTGAGCAACTCTTGGTCTGTCTGCCTTACTATCTCACGTCTTGGGTTTATGACTTATGAGGAAATAGTCTGCATTTTTAGCATGATTAAAAAAATTCTAAGACATGTCATGCTTATGTTTGCTGTATTTATCAAAAGCCTATGTATTTTTAATTCTAACCAATAACAAATATAACTTGTAGAAAATATTTTAGTGTCATCTATTATTCATTAGCAATTGACTCACGGTGTCACTTAATAGAGGTTAAGGCAGGAGAATCCCAAGTGCAAGGCCTACCTGAGCTTCACACTGAGTTCAAGGCCAGCCTGGGCAACTTATTTAGACCTGTCTCAAAATATAAAGTAAAAAGAGCTGGTGATACAGCGTAGTGGCAGGGGGCTTGCGTAGCATAGATAGTAGGCTCAGTGTCCAGTAGTGTTGGAAAAGACAGAAAAAGGAAAGATGCTTATGGAGCAACGGCTAGGTAGCTTGTCTTGTTTGTTTTCTGTTGCTGTGGTAAACACTATGTCCAAGCCTCTTGGGGGAAGAAAAGGTTTATTTCAGCTTATAGCTTGTTGTCCATCACTGAAGGAATTCAGGGCAGGAACTCAAGGAAGGAACCTGGAGGCAGGAACTGAAGCAGAGGCCTTCTTATGGCTTTTCTGCCCACTTTATTTTTACAACCCAGTACCACCCACCCACCCCCAGTGGACTGGGCCCTCCCACATCAATCTAATCAAGAAAATGCTCCACAGGTTTCTCTGCAGGCCAGTCCAATGGAGGCATTTTCTCAATTGAGATGCCTCTTCCCAGATGACCCTAGCTGTGTTGAGTTGATGAAAAACACGCACCCTAAGGTAAATAGAAGGAAAGTCCTGTAATAGAGGAAGAGGGGTTCTCTGTCAGAACATTCTTATCCAGGCATTGATGGATACAGGGCCTTCCACCATGTTCTGAGGTCTCATTTCTTAAGTCTTGTAGAAATTTTTCCAGAGTTGTCCTCTGAGTTATTGGTTTGATTTCTTTCTTGTGTTCTACATCTGTATTGCCAACCCCCTTTCAGTTCCATGGTATCCTTAAATACATTGTGACAGTAATAACACCGAAGAGCTTTTGCCAGCTACTGGGCACTGTGCTTGGAGCTTTACAGATGTCATCTCTCTTTAATCTTCAGTTGAGTGCTTTTTTATGTAGTGTGGGGCTTTGGATTTAGGGCCTTATACTGGTGAGGCAAGTGCTGAGTCATTGATCTACTCCTCCGGCAGTACATTTTATTTTTATTAATTGTCTTTACTTAGCTCTTCCAGCTCCTATATGAGTATCATTATGATTTCTCTCTCTCTCACAGATGAAAGAGAAGAAATGTCAGAGGAATGACTAACCTGCTAGAAGCTATCTAGCTAGTAAGTATTAGAACTAGCAGACAGCCCAAACCCTTCTGTCATTCTGTACTCCTTCCTGAAGGCCCAGAGCTTTCATTTGTCCCTGCTCTTTTCCGGCTTTCCCTTTTGTGCTCCAGACGTCCTGGCTGTGTCAGTCCCTGCCTCACAGACCCTCCTTTGGCCTCTGTAGCTCCATGGATGCTGCTTCTCCTTCTTTTTGTTCTTTTCCTTTTTTATCCTGTCTCTCTTTTTCCCCATTCCCCCTTTCATTCTCTCTCCCCTTCCTTTCTTTTATTCTTTTCTTTCCTTCTTTATCGGGATCTGACTATGCAACCCTTGCTATCGAGAAGTCACTCACTATCTAGCTCAAGCTGGCTTGTCCCTGCCTCCTGAGCGCTCTGGTTACAGATGTGCCACCACCTGGCCTTCTTGGTTCCCCTTTCAGCAGCATCTCTTCTTGATCTCTTCTGGGTAGAGTTACTGTCCCTTGGTTTTTCTCTGCATTCAAAGTTCTTGTTTTAGCCGATGCCTTGTGCTTGCAAAACTGCTCAGACAGACCTTGACTTCTCTGTACAATACCTGTCTGATCTAAGAAGCCTTTCTTGAACATGCTTCAGGAACTGGGTTTAGCATATTACTCACTAACATTTTTCCTGCGTCTTCATTTGATCTTCTCAATTAGATTGGAACCTTGTAAACCCTTTCAGTACTGCTGTGACATGTTGCTTTGTACATTGTAAGCACTTACTAAATATTGGTTGTTGATTAGCTGTTGTGTAAAGGGGGCAGGTCAGGGATGGAACTGGTTGTAGCAATGTATCCTAGGGAACATAATCTTTATTCATCTCTTTATTTTGGGAGCGGGTTGTTTGTTTATTATTTTTAGCCATCTTTTCTGTTTTTATAGATTTATTTATCATGTATACAGTATTCTGCCTGCATGCCAGAAAAGGAAACTGGATCTCGTTATAGATGGTGAGCCACAATTTGGTTGCTGGGAATTGAACTCAGGACCTCTGGAAGAGCAGTGTTCTTAACCGCTGAGCCATCTCTAAAGCCCTGGTTATTTATTTATGTCTTTATTTATTTGTTTGTTTGTTTATATTTGTAGTACTAGAGGTTGAACCAAGGGCCTTACACATTCTAGGAAAGCATTCTACCACTGAGGTATGTCCCTAACCTTCTTATTTTGAGACAGATGGCCTGAAAATTGCTATGTAGATAAGGCTGGCTTTAAACTCACAGAGATCTGCCTGTCCCTGTCATCCAAGTGCTGGAATTCAATGTGTACATCAGCACACTCCACCTTTTTTTTTTTAACTTTTTTCTCTGTTTTTGAGACAGAGTCTCATGTTGTCTATGCTGGTCTTCAATGTAATTTACAGCTAAGGATGATATGGAACTTCTGATATTCCTGCTTCTACTTCCTGAGCACTGGGAGTTAAACCCTGGGCTTTGTACATGCTAGGCAAGCACTCTGCCAACTGAGCTACATCCCCAGCCCCTTATTATCTTTTAAATTTTGAGACAGGATCTCATTAAGTTAGCCAGGCTAACCTTGAAGTCACTGTGTAGTCTGGATGGGCCTTGAACTTATGATTTTTCTGCCTTAGCCTCCTGAATTGATGAGATTATAGGCCTATACTATCATGTCTGGCTTGAAAGTATGTCTTACAAGCCCTACGTTGTGCTCAGGAGGTACATTTTATTGAATATTCTGTGCTAGTACTATGGTTGGTGTTGGGGTTCCATAAGTATTTGTAAACCAATGACAAGGGCTTTATGAATTGTGCTTCTACATCCACCTTTCAGTGGGTGAATTACCATGTGTGTCTTTGATTGGCAGGCATCAAGAGAAGAGTCCTAATGCCCAACCCAAGATTACTCCTTTCCCGGGTGGGTTTCTTTTCCAACCCACGACTGCTTCCTTGGGATACTGCAAAACCACCAGATTTGTCACAGTCCTTTTTAGGCAGAGCACATGAGGGAAATTTCACTGGTGTGATAGTTACGAAGCATCCACGCCAACACAAATACCAGAAGAAACAAAGGCATTTTATATCACTACATGACTCCTGGCAAGAGAGGTAAGACTCAAGCTGATGCCATCTGTTTTCAGCGAGTCAGAATCTCTGGGTCCCACTGACGTTCTGACTGATGTGACTAATATTAGTAATTGCTAATCTGACTAATATGGCATTATGAAGATTCATGAAGATACTTCAAGTAGTGTGATCAGGGCAATCTTGGGGACTTGTGATGGGTAGTACTAGAACTACTTTTGGATTATAGGAAACATTCTTGTCTTAGAGTGTATCTCTGTCAGAAAGGAGCTCTTAAATTAGGAATATGCTTCTAAAGGTGTATGGAGCCTAGCATGGTGGACACTTGTAATTGCAACAATCAGGAGGTGGAGGCAGGAAGATCCAGAGTCATCCTCAGTGATAATAGCAAGTTTGAGGCTGGCCTGGGATGCTTGAAGCCCTTCTCCCAAACCAAAGTAAGATAAAAACAAATTAAAGAATTTGTTTTAAATTAAAAAATTAAACAATTTCAAAACTAAGAAAATAAAAATCAAAATAATATTCAGGGCATGATGGTTCATGCCTTTTATCTCAGTGCTTGGAAGGCAGAAGCACTCGGTGAGTTGAAGGCCAGGCTGGTTTACATACAGAGTTATAGACCAGCCAGGGCTACATAGTGAGATCCTGTCTCAGAGGTAGAGGAGGGGACAGAGAGAGAAAAGAAAAGCTACTATATGAATTGGGCATGAATAGTCCTCTTATAGCCAAACAAGCACAAATATACCTCATTTTATGCAACAAATGTATTTTTGAAATCAAATTATTTTTTAAAAGCATTAAGGAGGTGAGCTTTTTAGAGGCTCCTAGAGGTAAAGCTTTTTGTAATATGACTAATTACCACCTAATAAATCTGGATTTTTCTTATATTGAATTTGCCCATCTGTTCTGCATTGTTAAGTAGTAGACATCACCAAAAATGGGCTCTTCTCCCAGACTCTCATCTCCTTAGGGGAATGAGAGTCAGTTGTAGCTTCTGAATTTAAGTAAAACATCAGAGAAACTGGTGACAGGAAGTACTTGTGCATAGTAGGTGCTCAGTACATATTTAGATCATTAACGATGTGTCTGAATTATCTTATTCAAGGCTGGCTGATGTTGTGACTCCACTCTGGAGGCTGAGCTATGAAGAACAGCTCAAGGTAGGTGTCTAGCTTGAGTCTTCTCCTCCTACTCCTACAGCAGAATGGCACTAGACTTATGGAAAACCTCATTAGAGAGTTCAATCCAGTGACCCCATGGGTCCTTTTGTTTTTGTTTTTGAAGCTGGTTTCCATCTCACTATGTAACTAAGGATGACCTCGAACCTTTTGATCCTCCTGCCTCCTACATTACAGGAATTGCTTTATCACACTTAGTTTATACAGTTCCTAGGCGTAAACCTAGGGTTTCACAAATGCCAGACAAGCACTGTCTCAAGGAAACCATGTTCTCAGCCCACCCTGCAGGTCTTTAAATTTGGTTTGCTAATGACTCTGGTGTTTGAACTTTAGGCTAGTTATAGCTTCTAAACTCTAGACCCATATATCCAATTGCTGATGTTCTTTTTGTTTTTCTTGTCATTCTTGTGTGTTTGAGTAATAATATAGTCCAATTTCCTAACACAGGAGCCACCAGCCGCATGTCTGTTCAAATTTAAGTATAGTCAATTTTGCCATAATGTTTGCTTTGAAAACAAATTTGTTCTGGTGGATTGATGTATTAGAGAACAATTTGAGCATAATACAGGTTTCATGTTTGCCAGGAACAATTTTGTTTATGAGAAGCGCTAGATGAAAGAAGGAAATTGCACCCAGTTGACTGGGTTGTATAAGAATACGTAAGATGCATATGCATATATGTCAAGCATTTACTGGTTCCCTCAGTTTTCTGTGGATGCTGTGGACCATCTCTATTCACTGCTGGTGACCAAATACTCCAGTGTACTTTTTGGCATCTTTGTCCACAAACAAATCTTAGGTCTTTGGGGAAACATTCTATGCCTATTGTCATATTCTTCTTTTTTTCTTTTCACAAAATTTTAAGATTTTATTTATTATTTTATATGTATGAGTACTTTGCCTACATCATGTGTGTGCACCATGTTTATGCTTAGTGCCTTTAGAGGTCAGAAGACATCAAATCCCCTGGGACTGGAGTTACAGATACCATGTAGATTCTGGGACTCAAATCTGCCTCCTCTGCAGGAACAAGAGCTCTTAACTGATGAGCCAGCTCTTCAGCCCCATACTCTTATTTTGTTTTCGTCATTTGACATGCATAAAGTGGTGCTGTTCTTGTCACATCCTGTTTTAGAAAGTGCAAGAGTGTTTGAAATTCTCTCTCTGTCTCTCTCTCTCTCTCTCTCTCTCTCTCTCTCTCTCTCTCATACACTCAGCTATAAGAATGACAATAAAAAGCTTGGCATGGTGGTGCACACCTTTTATTCCAGCACTTGGCAGGCAGAGATAGGTGGTTCTTAAGCTGGAGGTAAGCCCAGTCTTCATAATGTGTTCCAGGCCAGCCAGGGGTACATGGTGAGACTGTCTTAAGAAAAGATAGAGCAGGGGGCTGGAGAGATGACTCAGTACTTAAGAGCACTTGTTGCTCTTCCAGAGGCCCTGGGTTTAATCCTCAGCCCCCACATGGCAGTTCATCCTCAGCCCCCACATGGCAGTTCACAACCATTGGTAATTGTAGTTCCAGGGGATCTGACACCTTGTTCTGGCCTCCATGGGCACCACACACACACACACACACACACACACACACACAGTGCATAGATGCACATGCAGGCAAAACACTCAGACACAATAAAATAAAAACAAGTAAACTTTAAAAATCTGAAAGGCCTAAAAACAAAGAATGACAGAAAGGAACCAAGGCCCAGATGACAGACAATCGAAGCACCATGGGTATAGGCTGGGAATCTGGAGAAGTCAGGTGATGGCTGTGACCAGTAGAAATAAGAACACAAGGGCAGAGAGGCAAGGTATGGAGAACAGGACCAGCAAGAACAGAACATGCAGTGGCCCTAAGGAAAATTGAGTTCAAGGTGTTTGGTGCAGGACTTGGGACAAGGTTGATCAGGGATACTTTGTGAAGGGCTGCCATTAGAACATGGAATTAGAATCACATTCCTCCCTCTGCTTTCTTCTCTGAAAGCTGCTTCTCTGTGAATTCCCTGGTGCATTGCAGAATGTTGTGTGCCTCCCTTTATTTCTCCCATGAGCCCTTCCTGAGGCTCAGTAGGCACATTTCAGTACTCTAGCCACATGTGACTAGTGGCTACTGTGTGTGCAGAACATAGCAGAGGCAGAACATTTCCATTATAGGGTGTTCTACTGGGCAGCACTGACAGCTACTTTAAGTGTTTAATCTTAAAGGTCAGATGAAAAGATGAGCTCACACACAACTCCCTCTTGACCTTTCCTTAGCATCTTATTAAGTCTTCGTCTGTGCTGGATTTCCTGCTTCTCTTATCTGCTAAGCGCATAACCCATGAATCTTGGAGAGATCCTCTTTTGTTTTCTTTTCTATTCTTTGCAGTGAAAATATAAAATTATTTGCTGCGTTGCATGCATTCTTTCTGCTGCAGGTGAAATTTGAAGCTCAGAAGAAAATTGTACAAACACTAGAGTCTTACCTGCAAGTGCTCCATGGAGTCAGTGGAACAGTGGCC